GAAATGAGCTTCTTCTTGAGCTTAGTATTCCAATAATTCTTGATGTCATTATCAGTCCTACCTTGCAAGTGAGCTGCTATTACTGACCACCTGCATTAGTTTTCAACATAATTTACTCCTTTATGAAACCTCAATAGTTATACAAAAATAGATTTGTAAGCTTAGTTCTTCAATAATTGTCAAAGTGAGTTTTGCTCCCATTTTTTTTTTTAATTTATGAACTAAAGAATATACCCACAAAAGGAGGCAATTATATTGCTCAAAAGGTGGGTATGTAAAAGGTAAAATCAATTGTTTTTAATTAAAGAAAAAAAAAGTAAGAAGAAGAGATTGAATCTTCCTTAGAACATGCAAAGTGATCTCTTCTTTTCTGGTACCCACTTTCCTCCCAAAAAAATCCCATGATTTAAACTAGAGTAATCTTTTTTACAGCTATAAAATCATATATACCAAAACCAAGATTATAAATATTGAAATCATTTCAAGTATTAGAAGTTTAAAACTTTTTTTAACCTGCTTCCAATGGAGGCAAAGAGGCTGCAAATAATCTTGTCTTCTTCCTCAGTGAAATCTCCATGTCTTATGTTTGGTCTTAAATAGTTCAACCATCTCAGTCTGCAACTCTTCCCACATCTCCTTAAACCTTTACACAATATATCACAAATATTTATAAAAAAAAAAAAAAAATCAACGAAGACCCATCAAAGGGAAAAATCCAAAGAAACACACATAAAAAAAGTTTCCAAGAAATTAACTCATTCGAATCATCATGAGATTACCAGCTTTTTGAGGAAGAGCAATCCAATTCCCACCAGTGCCTTGATTCTGTATGTAGTCTTTAAGCTTTGAATCTTCTTCAGGAGACCATGGACCTCTCTTCACATTTGCCTTGTCACAACATGGAGCCCTCCCCATCTCTCTCTCTTGGTCCTTGGTTAATCTTTGTATTTTGCCGTGAGGAATCTTTGTTTTGTTTTTTGAAAGAGAGGAAGAGGAAGAAAAAAGTGTTCTCTGGTTCTGTAATTATCAAAGATAAAGACATGTATTTATTGCTACATGTATTGGAAATGCCCAAGTCAATGAAAAACCTATTTTCTATTTTTTTTCTTCCATCATGGTTTTTCTCCTCTCCCCATGTGGATTAACTTCAT